TTGACCGTCTTCGTGGGTCTAAGATTTTTACTAAGTTGGATCTAAGAGGTGCATATAATCTTGTTCGTATCAAAGAGGGAGATGAATAGATGACGGCATTCAACACACGAAGTGGTCATTATGAATACACTGTAATGCCCTTCGGTTTGTGTAACGCTCCTGTCATTTTCCAGGATCTCATTAATGATGTCCTTAGAGACTTTTTACATACATGTGCCATAGTATATCTTGATGATATACTCATACACTCTCCTGATATTCAAACCCATCACAGACAAGTCAGGAAAATACTATAGATACTTCTTGCCAACGGTCTATCTTGTAAACTCGAAAAATGTTTATTTGATCAAACCTCCATACATTTCTTAGGTTACGTGATCTCTGCTAAGGGTTTTCAAATGGATCCTAAAAAACTCTCCTCTTTTGTACAAAATCCAGAATGCTCAAGAAGGAGCACCTAGTGATAAACCTGCAGGGAGATATTTTGTACCACCTAAACTGAAAGATTAAGTATTTCGTGACTATCATGATAGTAAGATGGCCGGACATATGGGAGTGTCCAAAACTATTGCATTGATTTCCAGACAGTTCTGGTGGCCGTCCCTCAGAAAGGATGTGAAGGCCTATGTATCGTCTTGCAATATATGTTCACAGTCTAAACCTTCTCATCAAGTTCCAGGTGGCCTTCTGCATCCTCTTCCCGTGCCGTCTGTTCCTTGGTCACAACTGTCTATGGATTTTATAGTCTACTTACTATCTTCTAAGGGTTTTTCAGGTATATTGGTTGTGGTAGATCGCTTTTCTAAAATTGCACACTTCCTCCCATTAAAAAAGTAACTAAAAAAAGAGTTAGCTAAAAAATTTATTAAAGAAATAATAAGATTGCACGGTATGCCTGATGTCATCGTGTCAGATAGGGGTTCACAATTTATCTCGAAATTCTGGAGGGGTTTTTGAAAAGATATTGGTATTGAACTCAACTTTTCCTCTGCCTACCATCCTCAAACGAATGGTGCTGCTGAATGGGCTAATCAAAGTCTTGAGCAATATATCCGTTGTTTTACATCTCAACTCCAGGACAACTGGGCGGACCTTCTTCCTCGGGCTGAGTTTGTTAGAAATAATGCTGAACATTCTGCCTGTGGCCACAGTCCCTTCTTTGTTACGTATGGTCGTCATCCTAATTTGCTTCCTGCTTCATTCTTTTACAAGGGAATGCCTATTCTGGATGAACACTTATCTTCTATACGTGATACTTGGGTAAAGGTGCAAGCCATCCCTGAGAAGAGTGTACTCTCACAGAAATCTTTTGCCGATAGGCACTGTAGAGCGGCACCTTCCTATCTTCCAGGTGATCGGGTCTCGTTGTCTACTCGAAATATCCGTTTACGTGTCCCTTCCATGAAGCTAGCCCCTAAATATATTGGTCCCTACAGAGTTCTTCGGAGGATCAATTCGGTATCATATACTTTGGATCTGCCAAAAAAACCTTTGCATACCCAACGTCTTCCACATCTCCCTCCTGAAGCCTCTGGTTTGTAATAGGCACTCCAGATCCCATTCTCATCCTCCTCCTGTTTTGGTGCATGGTCAAGAGGAGTACGAGGTTCAACATGCTCTTGATTCTCGTCTCTCACGTGGGTCACTTTAGTATTTGGTCCATTGGAGAGGCTATGGTCCTGAAGAATGCTCATGGGTCCCTGCTTCTGAGGTCCATGCGCCACGGCTTCTTCATGCGTTCCATGCCAGGTTTCCTTCTCGCCCTTCTGGTGTTACTCCAGTGGGCTGTCCTGAAAGGGGGGTTCTGTCATACCTCACACGGCCCATGCTGCTCCGGTCCCGCCGTCCGCTCTACTCTTCCTGGCTCTGCTGGCTTCCGACTGACAGCGCACGCGCGCACCCAGATGCACACATGCACGCGCGGCAGACATCTTAAAGCAATAGTACCATTTTTGCAGAAATTCTCTTCCCTAGCCTATAATATCTCTCAGCCCTATTTATACCTCCCTCCTACATCACTTCCTTGCCCTGTCGTCTATTGTAGCCCGAGAGTGCGTTCTGTATACTTGTGTGTTTCCTGGTATCTGACTTCGGCTTGTCTCTGGTTATCTGTAATTTCTGGCTTCCTTGACCCTTGGCTTTGTTTCTCATTTATTCTTCCTTCTCCTGCCCTGACCTTGGCTCGTCTGATTATTCTGTTACTCTCCTTATTTTTCTTCACGTTAAGTCCGGCCACTTTAAGGACCGATAATACATCTAGCTCGGGTTGTCTGTTAGTCCTATAGTTAGCGTGTTGGGGAACCTAACCTTGACAATTATCTTCCTTTTTGTCTTCCTTTTTTCTGGTCGACATATCTCTTTAATTAAACTATTTACAATACTTTTGAAGCAATTCGCCTTATAATTTGCAAATAAGTGCTTGATATTCCGAGTAATCAGCAGGTCTATAAAAATATTATTTTAATAAAATCTCACGGCAAATTGTTCTACCGGTAGTCAGCTGCTTTGAGTAAAAATCTCGAGCCGCAGTCCCGTTCACCATTCAGCTTCTCTTCTAACGACGGCTACTTCCTTCTCCCCTCTCTCCGACCCGCCAATCTCCAGCTCCTCCCCTCCTGACGTGCACGTTACGTCATCACGTCCCTTCCTTTTTATTTTATTTTCCATGGGTAGACTCCAGCCTGTTCCTATTTTGTAGAAAACAAGAAAAAACTGATTTCTGCCAAGTATAAGTTGAAATAAAAATGGATGTGTATATATATATATATATACAAAATAAAACCAAATAGTGATTGAAATAACTTAGATATACTTAAAACGTCCCAGAGGAAATAGACAACGCCCTTTTTTTCTATAAGCTTTGAGGAGGTGATGTTTTAGTGTAGTTTAGTCAAAAGTCCTCCTTAGCGTTCAAATAAATTAGGTTTTGATTGAGGTAGGGAGTTCTGTAATTGGCATCTCATGTAAAATATAAGCAGAAAAGAAAAACCAATAGTGCAAACCAGTATGTTCAATATCTCAATAATGTGAAGAAAAAGAATACACTCAAAAGGATAGAGCCTCCAATCAGCTCTTAGATAAGGCTATGAGTGGTACAATCCCCACTCAGGGATGAAACTGGAATTTTTCTCTTTGAGTGTTCACAGTGGAAGTGGCATATGAAAGAATACAAATGGGATATAGTGCTCACTGTTTCAAACCAATAGAAGTGTGTGGAAAAGTATGAAATTTACTCACAATTTTAAGAGCACCTTATGCTCAATGATATCAGCTTAGGTGGAATGATCCCCACTGAGGATATATATGAGTAAAGGTAGATGTTGTGATTACAACAGGGTCTGGAAACCCTTATGCTGCCATGGACTTATGCACTAACATGTTTCTGCTTCCCTTTGTCTCTGTGTAATCCGCTGCTGGGCATACTCAATGAACACCAATAAGCATTTAAAGTTTTAATGTGTAATACATCATGTATTTATAAAAACCACAGTTTGTCTAGGGGTGTATACATCAGTGGCAACATTAACCAATCATAGGAGTCTCAGAACAGAAAGTATAAGTTTTCATATAACATTACGTATTGCTGCTAGTTAGTTTCCTGTTAACGGATGCAAGTAACAGTATGAGATTAGGATCCTAATTAAAATGTACAGGTGCTAGAAAAAATGTTCTTTTTTCCCCAAGTGCAGGACGTTTATAAAAGATAGAGAAAGCAGGTGTCAGGCTCAAGGACACAAAAAGAGAAGAATATAGTATGTTTTAAAAATGCGAGTTTAACCCTTTCAAAGCATGACTGTCTTGTATTATAATCAGGCCTACTGAACATTCAGTCTTCCAAGCTATGTATACAGTAATACTTTAGCTACGTAATAAGAAATACAGAAGTAGAAAGCAGGACATGAGACTCAGGGACGTATTAACCGCGAGGCAAACAAGGCATTTGCCTTGGGCGGCACTTTCCAGCGGGCAGCAAAAAAAGCCGCCCCCAAATGCCCAGGCAAATGTCTTGTTGGCAGCTAACAAACATTCCAAGCGGGCGGGTGGCACTGGCGAGGGAGCACTGATTAGGGAGCTCTCTGCTCAGCTCCCTCGCGCGCCGCAGAGTGATGCCAGGAGCCGGAATATGACGTCATATGAGTTTTGTCACTCCTAGGGCAGCACAAAACCAGGATACACCACTGATGAGACTGACATTCTATAACCAAAAATATATAGCTATGTATGTCTAGGGGAATATTTACTAAGCATTGCATAGGTAAAACAATGATATTACAAAACTTGGTGTTGCGGCATTGTTTGTGGTTGGGATTTTATATCTCATCTACATTTTTTGTTATATAATGCTTTCCTATAGGGATTCGGGTGACGCTGAAAGTCTTCACGCATAGCGTAAGGACGTCCAGCGTTAGCTAGGTGAAAACAGCCCGGAAGTCCCTCTAGTGGCTGTCTGGTAGTCAGACACTAGAAGAGGAGTTAACCCCGAAAGGTAATTATTGCAGTTTCATAAAATCCGTTGAAGTTGTCTGGATGCCTATAGTATCCCTTTAAGCACCATAACCATTACATCTAAGTGTAATGTGCATACGGCACTCTCCTACCGTTCCTTCAGCTGCTTAAGGAGTAGAGAGGAACGGCTGCGCGAGTGACATGTGCGAAAGGGAAAGAGCTATTCCCCTTCTCTTCTGAGCACTCCTGCTGCACCACCAACGATACCAGGCATCACCAGTGCTGCCCACTCCTGTGTGCTGACCCGAGGTTGGTGACTCGGCAGCCTTATGGGATATCCGGCCCTGTGTAGAGCTGTTATACACTCCGATGCATTACTAACAGTATAAGAAAAAGAGTGACAATAGGATAGAAACTAAGGACAGAGAGATTAGAGTCCAAAATAGGGACTGTCCCTCATAAATAAGGACACTTGGGAGGTATCTATGAAGCAAAAAGGCAGTACTGTATGTCCCCTATTTTTTTTTTATAAACAGCACTAACCAGATGTTGGTGTATCAGGATGTTTTTAAGCAGTAGTCACAATGAGAATTTGAACTGAGTTTGATCCTTACAGGAACTGCATGAGAAGTGCAGACTCAGCTCAGCTCAGCTCACAGTCACGTGACCTGCAGTCATATGACTGTCTGAGCCCAGCTCCTCTATTGCTGCAAAACGGGAGGACCTGTGTCTGGTAAGTACTGAATGGGTAAAGGGGGGGACTGAGTCTGTATTAAAAAATACTGGGAGCTGGACTAAACTCTTGTTTTAAGCGCCATGCTCCTCCAAAATACTGAAAGGAGCTCTGGCTTTATCTTCTGAATGAAAGTAAACAAAACGAAAGTGCTTCTCCTAACTGTTGCTTTATGGATGTGTTAGGACATATTTGCACTGTGCTGCAATACAGTGCCATAGATATAGTAATCCTATTCACAGCTGATAACAGAGCACAGTTCACTTTGTTTTTGTATATTTAAACCACATGCTACAGATGGAATGCTCTGAAATGATGAGTTACCTGCAGAGTATCTTTTTATCATTGGCCCTGTTTAGATGAACTAAACAGCTCATATATTATGAGCAGTACATCATTTACTGCACTCATATGTGATTTATTTCGCTTTAGTCCTTGATGACAGATACCTTTAATTTACTTGTTAGTCTCAGGTGTCCAAAAGGAACACTCATGTTCCTTCAACTACTTACCTTTTTTTTTTTTTTTCTCCGGTGTTATACTATTTGCATGGTGCTGGATTACAAGGTAGTAGAATGCTTATTTTGCAGCTTTTACTGCAAACAAAGTGGGGGGGGGACCTAATTCATAGTGCCAAATAGGGCATATTAAACAGGAAAGGTCCCCACCCCACAAAGTGTTGAAGTAGTAATTTAAGTTTACTAAAGTGCTGTATGTGCCTTAGTCTGTCATATTTGTGACAGTTTATAAAAGGGCCTATTTCAATAGAAACCTGCACTTTAAAGGACCACTATAGTGCCAGGAAAACATACTCGTTTTCCTGGCACTATAGTGCCCTGTGGGTGCCCCCACCCTCACTGTCCCCTTCCCGCCCAGCTCTGGAAGGGGGAAAGGGGTTAAAACTTACCTTTTTCCAGCACTGGGCGGGGAGCTCTCCTCCTCCGTTCCTCCCCGTCGGCTGAATGCGCACGCGCGGCAGAAGCTGTGCACGCATTCAGCCGGTCGCATAGGAAAGCTTTATCAATGCTTTCCTATGGACGCTTGCGTGTGCTCACTGTGATTTTCATAGTGAGAATCACGCAAGCGCCTCTAGCGGCTGTCAATGAGACAGCCGCTAGAGGCTTTGGGGGAAGGCTTAACCAATTCATAAACATAGCAGTTTCTCTGAAACTGCTATGTTTATAAAAGAATGGGTTAACCCTAGCTGGACCTGGCACCCAGACCACTTCATTAAGCTGAAGTGGTCTGGGTGCCTAGAGTGGTCCTTTAATAATTGGTAAGCGGCAGGGGCGCTAAGCTTATTGAGAAGCATAGGAAAGTGTCTCCAGCAGGGGCGTAACTTGAAACCACAGTGCCCGGTGTGAAAATTGCCCTGGGGCCCTCCATGTGTCTCATTCACACACCCCCGGTGGGTGGGTGACTGGATTGGGGGAGTTATTGTGACAGTGTGTGTAGAGGGGTGACTGTGTGTGAGGGTAACAGATACAGAAACACAGATGCATACACTGACACACACACAGATAAACAGAGAAACACACTGACATCCATGTAGATACCCACAATATAACACATACAGATACATACACCGACACACATGCTGATACATAGGGGCACACACTGACACACATGCTGATACACAAGCAAACAGATACACAAGCACACATACGGACAGACAAACAGATACACACAGATATACAGATATTCAGACACACACATGCAAACTGTAAAACATGCATCATTTAGGTGCAGGATGTTTTTTTTTCCCCTCGGGTCCAGTTGCTGCCTCAGACTGATGAGAGTCAGAACTCTCTCATCCTTCTTCTCCTGCGCAGCTCTGTTAGCTGGGAGTAAGTGACCGCTTCCTCCCAGTGCTCTGATATCACAAAGGGCCAGGTCGCACTCTTAAAGCGCCAGCTCACCAGGCCCCTGTAAATACATTGCTATCGGGTGTCCCTCATGGAGGCCCTGGGGGTATTTCCATGCGGCCGGGCCCCCTGGAGTGATGGGCCTGCGACCACTGTAGTTCTGCCACTGGTCTCCAGCACAGAGGCTTCTCTGTGAGTCTTCCCAGGGAAATAAGGAAGGGCTTGCAGAGGCTGCAAACTGCAAGTCTACAGCTCATGCCAGTTGTTGTTTTTTCTTTTTATATATATATATATATATATATATATATCCCCACAGAAATAAATACATAAATACATGTTTGTTTTCTTTGTGGTGAGTAGATCTAGTAAATTGTTTAAACCCCCCCGCACCCCCAAAAAAAGTTTCGATATAGTGTTACAAAAAATTTCAGTTCAGTTTAACTAACAGCTCCCAATATAATAAATGTATGAATTACCATTGTAACATATATTTTTGTGTTTTGCTTTAACCATGCTCTATTGTTGCATACGTGCTGCCCCTTTGCTCCTGCGCCGTCATTCTGGAGTATGTGTCAATGTGTAGATTGTTATTGTAGAGGTATACTATATCTTCTCCAAGAGGTATATTCTGTCCAGATATTGTATACAGTGGTATAGTATTTGATACATGCTATTTACTGTATGCAATATCGTTCTATTGTTTACTGCCAAACGTGGCCAAATTCAGTGAGATCAAGTTCTGTATAGACTGTTGTGCTTGTTGCTGTATTCATTGTGCTGGTTCAGAACCCCATTAACTTGGCTTTTATTATCCATAATCATTTTATTGCTGGAGGAAAGCATGAGCAATCAATCTCTAGTCCATGAATGTAAAACCAAGCTATGTGTTGTTGTTTTTTTTTATTTTTTTTATTAGATACAATGAAACTCATCATTCTGGATAATTATGACCAGGCCAGTGAGTGGGCTGCAAAGTACATTAGAAATCGGATAATACACTTCAATCCAAGTCCTGACAAGTACTTTACTTTAGGCCTTCCTACAGGTAAGTGACATTTCTGTAAACAAATCTCTTCTTGTGAAAAAGTAGCCACTTTTTTTCCTCTCCTCAATATATTTCATTTCACCTGATTATATTTTGTGCAGTAACCATATCTGCAGCCAAAAGATAAAGGGAGGACAAGTCCTGGAGAAGCATATTTCACAGTAGCGCTTTTATTTCTCCCCCAGAAGCACCGTAGATGATACGGACCTTTTAAATTGACCTTGCACCACAAGTCATGGGCCTTGTAATGCACCTTCTCCACAGAAATAGGCACTACCTAAAACCAAGATACAAGCAAAACAAGGGATACGGCTGTAAAATCTAAAAAAAACAAACCATAAATAGAACATAGTGCAGTACAATTTTAACAGGTAATATACGCTGTATACAGGTGCATTCACAAGATATAGACGTATAATGCGCTCAAGGGTGCCTCCCCCGATGTATTTGGGGGGCTGAAAATCTCCCTCCGCTGCCCACAGAATTGCAGGAAATCAGGACTCCAGATTGTAGTTAAAAAATAAATAAATAAATAAAAAAAAGCGGCTTTTATTATAACAGCAGTAGGTGTGGTCTTACACATTTCTTCAGAGACCATAAAATCACAGCAATTACAAATTCTTGTACAGAAATAGCAGCCTAACAATTCCCTCCCCAGAGTCCCTTTAAATAGGGTTAATCCCTGAGTTCATTGGGGGTTCAGAGGGTGTTGTTTCCAATCCGTGGTCCTACTGGTTCCATTCTTGCACTGGATCACCTGTAGATCTTCAAGAAAATCATCTCCCATATATCAGCTGGTAATTAGAAATCTGCCAAAAACCAGAACCGGAAGTGCATTCTATTGGACAGTTCCACATTCCATTTGTTGAGTGATGTGAGCCACAGAGTTCCAAACGGCTGTATACATGCCATAGAGTTCACTGGAATGATGTGCGGCCTCTAGTGGTAATACAAGATTTAACATTGATGTTAACAAAAACAGAACGAGTATTCGATCTGCTAAAGAGAAAAATTTATTAAAGGACCACTATAGTGCCAGGAAAACAAACTCATTTTCCTGGCACTATAGTGGTAATAGGGCCCCCCTCCCGCCGGACTCTTGGGGGAGGAAGGGGTTAAACTCTTACCTTTCTCCAGCGCCGGGCTCCCTCGGCGCTGGCGACTCTCCTCCTTCTGACTTCATCAGCTGAATGCGCATGCACGGCCAGAGCCGCACGCGCATTCAGTCAGATCATAGGAAAGCATTTCTCAATGCTTTCCCATGGACGCTGGCTTATTTTCACTGTGAAAATCACAGTGGGAAGCGCCTCTAGCGGCTATCAGTGAGACAGCCACTAGAGGCTGGATTTCTCTGAAACTATGTTTACAGCAGGCAAGGTTAATCCTAGATGGAGCTGGCACCCAGACCACTTCATTAAGCTGAAGTGGTCTGGGTGCCTATAGTGGTCCTTTATACCATCAATTGATATTTAAACAGAACCCTTAAAATGAATTTAAGTGCAAGATAATGAACTCATATCTTGAGATTATTGCATAGTATAGAAAATTGTTTTACTTTTACTGATTCACTCTTTTTTTTTGTGTGTGTGTGTGTTTATTTGACATCGCTCTAATAAAAATAATCATTTAAAGTTACAATGGATATGTAAAGTGAACTCATTCTGGATGTCAATTGTTCTCTATCATGTTTTGAAAAGCAATTACCTAAAACCACACTAACAAACGGAGCTGTGACGATTCCAAAGACAGTCTTTATCTTGTAGAGTGTGCAAGAGTGTTACATGGATGCTCTCTAACTCCTACACTAAGGATCAGGCGTTAGAACTATGTTTTGTGGTTGCCCCTCACTTGAAAATTCCCTTTCAACCTTGAAAAGTGCTGTGCACCCTCTGTTGGTTCAGAATACTTGTTTGTTTGTTTTTTGGCAGAACTGCCATTTTATAAAGTTAGGCCACATAAGTTTCCCAATAGAAGCTTCACTCTTCCAGTGTTTTTTGGGACTTCTATAATATCGCTGTCACAGTGAATTGGCTCTACTGTCTGTCTGTACTTGGTGCCTTCAGAATCTTTTACAATCTTGAATAGATATGTGGTGTCTAAATCTTCCACAAAAGATAAACCCAGACCACATCAAGGGAAACAATCCATCTCCCTAGTTTCTACAAAGCAGCTGAAATATCTTCCATTATTTTTCCTCTACTGGATACCAAATTGGGCAAACTGATGGTACCCATAAAGTCCAGTCCTTCACGGTTCTCTTCACAAGCACAACACATTACCTCTGCAGTAGAGGATGACACCTCCCAATCTCATAATTACAACAAACCATCCTCAAATAACAGGGGCAGTTTATCCCTTACCTCTCTCATAGACAGAATAGAGGATTTGGAAAACAGGAGCAGAACAAACAACATATTGTTGGCTTGTCTGACTCTATTAAAGGAACTGCTTTTCACAAATTAGAATCACTTGGGTCCAAAGCCAAGAAATAATGTGCAAAGACTACAGGCAGTTATAGTTAGCATTCTCAAATTTCCTGATAAGATCAAGCTCCTGTTGTTGTTTTTTTGCAAACTGGAATATGAAAACTTCTCTGCTCAACTAACACAAAACATAAGCTTGCTTTAAGGTCTCCTCTGTGACATATGTCAAACAAGCAATATTAACGTAACCTACATCTACATCCGTTTTTGAAGATCTGACCAAGGCTAACAATTTTTATTGTGCAGAAAACTGTATCCATCACTCCATACACCTTTCCTTCCAACAGGGGTACAGGAGAGATACAAGGATCCACTCCTTAAGGGTCTACAGGTTGAAAGACTTTCTTGTTATTGTCAAGTATATTTATTTTTTTGCCATGTTTTTATGGTTACCACTGTGACTGTTAAACAGATGTTGCCGTGTTTTGGTTTTTTTTTTTCTTCCACTTACGCGAACATTTTGTTTATATTCGGTTTCCTTCTAATTTGTTTGCAGTATTACAACTGGAATTTATTAACGATCATAGCCTACTCTACTTGTTACAAAACTGTATTCCTAACACTATATTGTCCCTCTTCTTTTTTGCTACCTAGCCCAGTCAAGAAAGGATTAAAACCTGTTTGTTTGTTTTTTTTTGTTGTTGTTTTTTTACTTACCTGATTCTAGCACCGAGTTCCTTTAGCACTAGATTGGGCTCTTTCTGCGACTTCATGCAAATCCAGGAAAATACTTTGCGGCGAGTGACTTACACATTAGGCCTTCCCCATAGGAAAGCATCGAATCAATGCTTTCTTATAGGATTTTTCAAGATGCTGGATGCCCAGCGTGGTTTCACGAAATTAAACCAAGTGGAACTGCAGGAAGCGTTTCTAGTGGCTGTTAGGTAGAAAACCACTAGAGATAGTCTTAACTCCTTAATGTTAACATTGCAGTTTCTCTAGACAGAGACGCTGCACCCAGAACACTTCAATCACACAAAGTGGTCTGGGTGCCTATAGTGTCCCTTTTAACTCTGATTTTAGTTTTTAGTCCTTTTTAACCTGGTTAACCTGTTTTGCCTAGTTTCCAACAATTGTCTTATTTTGGTTTGCCAGACAGACATTTTTGTAACGGTATATTTTAGCTCTGTCTCTCTTTTAGTCACGTTAATACTTGAGAGATGGTTGCTTCTGGGGCAACCTAATTTCCGTGTCAAGTGAGCTACCTCCTTGGGTCACACATCATTCCCATTTTTTTTAGATGACAGATGGTTAAACAGACATCTCTAAACCTGCCAATTTACAACTAGGAACAGTTGTGTTCCTTGAAATGCCTTTCAAAACTCTTCACAAAGCCAAATTCACACCTGTCTTGAGGTTTAGAATTAGGCATTCCAACGCAGATAATATTCCAAAATGATCCCACAAGAATGCTAATATGTTGCTGTGGGGGGGAATGCACCCGTATTTTTCTTTTTACATTTAAAAATGCATCACTCAAATAGCTAGCTGCCATTGTAAACTGACCCCATTGTGGATTAGAAGGGCTGGAGAGCACCATTATGTGCGCAAGCTCTGTTGCACTAACCGAAAACAGTTAGTAGTATACTGTATTTTAAAACATTGGATCATCTTTTCACCCAAGCTTTCATCAGATTGTAAGATTTAACTCAGATTGGTCAAATACCTCACTCCATAAAGATAAATTTACATTTGCCCTGTACAAGTACCCTAAAGTGAATCTTGTCATGCACTGACTTTTGTGTGACCATTCTGCTTTAAAATATTTAATAGTACAAACGAGCATTCATTTAGAAAATTAATTTAATAAAACTAGCATTTTTGTAACACTAATCAAGTAAAGACTTGTGTCCAGTTGACACTTGTTTTAGTGACATTTTGTGTGGACATTCAATATTGTGAAGATCACACAAGTGTGGTAATAATTGTGTTGATGTATTTAACCCTTACAGGAAGCACACCATTGGGATGTTATAAAAAACTAATCGAGTATCATAAGAATGGAGACATTTCCTTCAAATATGTGAAAACATTCAACATGGATGAATATGTGGGTAAGTTTGTAGTAGAACATTAAATGTGTGCATTTATTCACTAAATGGCGAATTGTAAAACAGATTGCAAAATATAGGCCACTCTTAACTCAGGGTCATCATTTGCTGCTAAACTACAAAGCGCAATGTGAGGGTGCACAAACACAGAGAACTGCGTGAGTAAATACTCGTTCTTGCGCTTCTTGACTAAGCACACGGAAACACCTTGTACTTCTCTACCTGTCCTCTCTGTTGTTGCCAAATTGCATGCCTGACAGGGAAACACACAAGTGGGAACTTTGTGCCCTTGCACTCCTTCTGCGGGATGAAATATAAAAGTTTGGCAGGCCATATGTTTCACATGCTTCCTTGAATGTCCTTTGACTGATTGAACTCATTCTACGAAGTCCTGCTGCTATATGTGAATGGTATGACTATGGTCAGGCAGGTTCAATGCCCCATGTCAAATAACCACCTCTTAACAAATATTACATCAAGACCACAGTTCAAACCAATAAACTTATTAATTGGTGTTAAAGTTCACTTTGGGAAACAGTTTTATATATTGTGCAATGTTTATTCAATCTACCATTATGATGTTTTGGACTTACTAACTTGATTTGATTTGCTCCTGCCGACCTTATGAAAACAAAATATTTAATTGGACAGTTGTAATGGAACATGATCAAATAAATAAAACTGATAAGTGTAAAAATCTAGTCAAATATTTAAAAACAAAACAAAAAACCTAATCCTACCTATTAGAAGCAGCAAAGTTTTACATTGTCAGACAAAAACATTTAGTATCTAGGCACCAAAGCCATTGAGTGAAGATGTAGTGGTTTTGGTACTTAGAGTGTCCATTTAATTGTTCACATGTCAATTACGATTTCTACTTCAAAATTGGTCAGTGGTATAAATGTTTATTATGAAGTTCTTCTACAATGATCCAGAACCTTAAAACCAGCACAAAACCATTACAGGTTTATTCACTGAAGTGATAATTGCTGGGAATTAAAAGTGAATTTCAAATTTAAGGACAATGTAGCTGACTAGGGGAATTTTTTCAATATGGCTGTTTTGGCCTTAAATTTCAAACTAGTTTTCAATTCCCATCAATTCTCACTCTAGTGTTGATGGGTCTACCCGAAAGCAGGAACCCAGACGTTGTCTTCTATAGAAAGATTTTCAACAATAAGAAGAAAACATTCCTTCATCATATAGCATGACATTGAAAATGTAATTTTGCAGGCCTTCCCAGAGATCATCCAGAGAGTTATCACTCTTTTATGTGGAATAACTTCTTCAAGCACATTGACATCTGTCCAGAAAACGCACATATATTGGATGGAAATGCTCCTGACTTGGCGGCTGAGTGTGACTTGTTTGAAGAGAAAATCCGCGAGGCTGGAGGGATAGAACTCTTTGTTGGAGGCAAGTGAATTAAACCCATGAAATTATTTATTTTGAGTGTGTTGTGCTCTATAATATGTTTTGTTAGTAATGAAAGTAGATCACTATTCTGGAATTGAATGACAGCAGTATCTCCTGACCTCACATTTAGTAAAGACTTCAATACCCATAACTTAAAACTTCAGAGTCAATAGCAAGATCATCAAAAAAACTTACTAATAAGCATGTTTCATTTGTTGACTGAAAAACCCCACCAGCACTACTGACCACACATACAAGCCAGGTGGATTTATAAGTGTCATTAGCAATACCAACCTATATATTAGCAATACCAACCTGTACAATTGTCCTATTGCATAGGCCACGAAAGGAACCTACAGTGAGCAAAGTATTCTTTTAGGAGATGGAATGTTACTTTATAATAAAAGTGATTTTGTGTTTCTTTTTTGTTGTTGCTTTTCTCTCATCTATTATTTGTTTTCTCAAAATTCATTGTGTTTGGTGTTAATGCTAGTGTGTAGACTTTGTTTCTTACACATATCTACTATTGCATACATTTTTTCCTCAAGGTATTGGTCCTGATGGTCACATAGCTTTCAACGAGCCCGGATCAAGCTTAGTATCCAGAACCAGAGTGAAGACCCTAGCTATGGACACTATATTGGCCAATGCTCGCTTCTTTGATGGAAATCTCTCCAAAGTGCCAACTATGGCTTTGACTGTTGGCGTTGGAACAGTTATGGATTCCAAAGAGGTGTGCATGTGAAGTAAACGTGTCACTTGATTGGTTCTTTGGGCAGTAGGGCAGAGTCAAGCATATCAACTTGAGATCTCTCTCTATCTATCTATCTATCTATCTCTGTGTGTTGTTAAATAGTAGAAGAATTTATATCCTAGTCCTGTTTTCATTCATCCAGGTTATGATTCTCATTACTGGGGCCCACAAAGCATTTGCCCTTTATAAAGCCATTGAGGAAGGAGTTAATCACATGTGGACTGTGTCTGCCTTCCAGCAACACCCCAATACTGTATTTGTCTGCGATGAGGATGCAACATTAGAGCTTCGTGTGAAGACTGTGAAATATTTTAAAGGTATTCTTTGAGCAGGGTTAAAACTTATATTACAGCTGATGTTGAATTACTTTTTATAGTGCTATATCTTTTTTTTTTTATAGAGAATAATACTTATCATTATTACAGATGATCTCTGATAATCCAGTGCTTACCCATAGTTAAGCATTGAGGTATTAGCAATCGGTACGCTATGCCAGCCAGCAACGCTACATAGAGATGCATTACATCGATGCTGGGAAGTGTATGGGGAGCGTTCAGCGTCTTCATGAAGATACTGAATGACGGTCTTGCAAAGATTGTAGGGCTGCACCAGGAAGGGCCTCTACTGATGGAGTGTCTTAGAGATAAATCTGAACATTGCCTTTTCTCCCAAAAGGCATCATTTCCAATTGTCATATTGCAGTGGCAGTCTCTTTGCAACAGAACCATTACATTCAGCTGTAGTAGTTGTAGTGCATAACGTTTCCCTTTAAGCTAGTAATATCCAGTTGTACTTTTATGCTACTAGCACCCAGCAACATAGAGATAGAAACCATAATCATGGGTTCTGCATTAAATGCGTGCACAGCCATTCCCTCCCATGATTCTATGTATGGGTCTCCACAATAGTTAGTGTGTATCTGCACTGTAGCCATTGAGTTGGGAGGTGAACATAGGGGCATGTACTGTGTCGGCAATCTTTTCTGGAAACCTTGTACTAGGATACATATATACTAATCTACATAATTTTTAAGCAATTAATTACATTTTAGATCTTACCAAAATTAGACTTTATCATCACACATCTGCTTGTGACAGGTCAACATACCATAATTTTCTGCAGGAGTGAAATTTAATTTTCTTTTTGCATTATTTTTCTTTGGCTGCTAGGCATGACTTTTCATGCCAACATGCTTTACTCAACATAAAAGCAAAGATGCATTTCTTGCCACTGAAACTGTTAACCAAAATGCATCACTTCCACCTCAGCATTATGAGTCTCTTGATGCTTGCGAACAATTCTTCAATCAAAGTTTGAGATTAGAAGACAGCAAGGACTCTTACTTGGTGAACTCAGTCATGTTAAATAGGCTGCTGATATTGAGTATTTGGGACTTGTTTACAGTATTAAAACTCTGTTGGTACTGCAACACAAGTTACTGATTAAGTAGAAATACAGAAATACATTCAGATTTTGAAAAATAATTTATTTCATTGTACACACTAGCACTGTAACTAGAATTGTATATTCATTCATATTTTTCCAGGCATACTCTAGAGCCCCACCTGCTGGTCATTATTAAAGGGATTCTCTAGTGCCAGGAAAACAAACCCATTTCCTGGCATTAGAGAATCCTGGAGTGCCTGGTCGACCGCCACTAGAGGAGGACTGTAATTATTGCAGTTTTGTAAAAATTTCCCCCATCTCCCTTTATTTACTGACTCTGTTCATATGGCTTGCTGCCCAGTTGCTAGTTTAAGTAATGTTGAGAATGCACTGAGGGGTACATATTGCTGTTCAGGAAAACATGATTGAGGTAAACGCTCTAACTCCAATAATGTAGCTATGTTTGGCATATGATATAGCTATATTTGTATTTCATTATTTGCTTATCATAACATGTAAACTCTCTCAGCTGAATGTGTTCTCTGCATAGAGGTGTTCTCCATTTTAAGTTGAGTAAATTTGCGTGCACTCTGAAGTAGTGTAGATTATGATTGCTTGTGGATATAGAGCAGTATTGTTGCTAAACACTTCTCTCATTGATTCTAAATGTATTTTATTTGTGGTAAAACATGTAGAACCCATGAGCTAAAAAAAATAAAAATCTGATCTGGCTTATTTATATTAAAAAGAAACAGTTAATTACCCTTTTCAAGTTTGCATGTCACGTTACTCCAGTAAAAAAAAAAAAAATCAACATCATTCTGTACATGCAAATATATCCATACATAATCATACAAGATTAAAGGGACACTATAGTCACCAGAACAACTACAGCTAAATGTAGTTGTTCTGGTGAGTAGAATAGCTCACTTCAGGCATTTTCATGCAAACACTGTGTTTTCAGAGAAAAGGAAGTGTTTACATTGCCCCTAGGGACAACTCCTAGTGGCCACTGGAGGTGCTTCCTGGCTCAGGGCTGCAGTAAGCGTCCCCGTTCAGCGTCCCCGTGCTCTGCATGGAGATGCAGAGTTTTCCTCAGAGTATTGATTCAATGCATCTCTATGAGGAGGTCCTGATTGGCCAAAATGGCATTTGGCCCCGCCCTCAATTGGCTAAAAAGCGGCCATATTGATTGTCACAAATGGGGCGGAGCCAGCGCCAGCCGACCCGCGCGGTGCTGGAAATAGGGTGAGTTTTAAACTTTTATAGGGGGCTAAGGGAGGGCAACCACCTAAATGGTGGGTTTAGCACTATATGGTCAGGAATACATCTTTGTGTTCCCTGACCCTATAGTGATCCTTTAAAACCCGGAAAAGGGAGGACATTTTTTTTTTATTTTTTTTTTTTAATTTGACAATTTTTATTTTCATAAAAATTTGTTACAGAAAGGAATAAATTATTATTATTATTATTATATTTATAGAGCGCCGTCAAATTCCGCAGCGCTTTACAATGGGTGGACGAACAGACATGTAGTTGTAACCAGACAAGTTGGACACACAGGAACAGAGGGGTTGAGGGCCCTGCTCAACCTTTCTGAATAATTGTATTATTGGAGAAACATTGCAGGTTGGAAGGAAGATAAAGGAAGCAGTAACATTACTTATTAGGGACAGTAAACCGTATAAAAGTATTTGGGAGTAGAGGTATAGGGAGGGACAGAGGAGAGTGGCTTTAAGATGTAGAATGCTGATTTAAAAAAAATAATAATAATTCCCGACATAGAAAAATACAGGTAATTATACAGGCTAAAATATAAATGCATTAAAGATGTGTTGGTATCCAAAGTGTCCTAGATCAATAGTAACAAAGACCCGTTCCTGGGAGCCCAGTGTACACCTACTCTTAGGATATCATTCACTGCCAACCAATATTAATTTTAATGATATGATAAGGAGAGCAATTCTAAAACTGTAGCCAGGTTGAGGTACTGGAGTGTCAGATCATAAGGAGATTCTGTAATTCTTTTGCATCCAAGTTCCTTGTCAAGTTAATGCAATAACTTATTTGAGCTGGGCAAATTATCTAGGTCTTTGTTTGACACTAGCTACATATCATAAATAAGATGTTTTGCAAATGATAAAAAAAGCATTGTAAAGCTGCCATTATATGTATTTATTTTGCTTTGGAAAGAAAACAAAAAAAATTCTGCAGTTTGCATCTCTCAAACACCCATGTATATTATCAATACATACCTAATCAATGATTCACAATGAAAGCAACAATGTAGTGTGGTTATGAAGTGCATTGTCCCACATTTCAAGTGACCAGGAGTCTGGAAATTGTAAATCTGACACAAATAATTAATTTGTTTATTATAGAATAGTTCCTTCTGTGTATAGAGTTTTTTTGGGGTTCACTCACTAAACTGGTAGTAGGGCAGAACTGATAAAGTTTCAGCTGGAAAAACAGCTGTTGAAGAATGTTTTGAGTTTGGCAATTTTGGATTAAAGAAACATCTCAATGAAGTGGTCTGGGTGCAGTGCCCCTGTCATTTTTACCCTACAATGTAAACATTGCCTTTCACTGGCAGCGTATCCATTGCAGGACTAAACATACCTTTTGTGGTTGTCTTCTTGACAGCTATTAGATTGACCGAAATCAATTGGAGAAGTGTGACATTTGCTGCGCATGTGCTTTTTGTTCCCAAGCATTGATTGGTGGAGAAGATTAAGTGATGCCTGCCCCCCTGACACTGGGGGAGTAGGAGCGGGCTGTAGCACGGAGTATGAGCATCGTTGTGGAGGAATTATGATTCTTTACAACATCGCTTCAGTTCTTCAAGGTTTGAGTTAGACTGGGCCATTGCAACAATATCTATTTGTGTGTGTGTGTGTGTGTGTATATATATATATATATATGTGTGTGTACACCCCTCACATTTTTGTAATATTTTATTATATATTTTCATGTAACAACACTGAAGAAATTACACTCTGCTACACTGTAAAGTACAGCCTGTATAAAAGTGTAAACTTGCTGTCCCCTCAAAATAACTCGCCACAGAGTCCCTTTAAATTCAATGCTGTGCAGCTAATGTTCATAAAATCCTCAATGCTTCTTTAAAATAAGCATTGGATTGGTCCATGCCAGAGGATCGACACCTCTTCGAAGACCTCTCGAGAGTTAAAAAAGGTTTGTAAAAACCCATTTTTTTTATATTTTTGGGGCAAAGGGGTCTGAATCTATCTAGGGAGAGAGGCACTATAGTGTTAGAAATACAGGTTTGTGTTCCTCACAATGTAGTATTTCTTTAACGCTGCCATGTAAAAGAGAACTGCTGAAATTATTCAAGAAATTGGCATAATTGCCATGTGGGCATCAAATAGAAAATGGATACTGATGCATAATTGCCATGTGGGCATCAAATGGAAAATTAAAAATATTATATAATTAGCCCTTGTTTTCCTACTTAAAACCATGGCAGCATTAACGAATTGATAGCTGCACCCTTTTGATCAGGAAAATAGAATATTTCAGTAGGTTTTTTTTTACGGCTTAAACCCTGGCCAGCGTTAAAGGAATACTATAGCGTTAGGAATACAAACCTGTATTTCTAACACAATATGGCCCCTCTCCCTAGATAGATTTAGACCCCTCCTCTCGAAAACCTAGAAAATCGGTTTTACAAACCTTTTTTAACATTCACGAGGTCTTCGAAGATTGATAATCCAATGCTTATCATAAAAAAGCGTTGAGGATTTTATGAGCATGTGCCGCAAAGCATTGAATTTAAGGGTTTCCTTTGAGCTCCAAGGTCACAGGAGTTTTACTCAGTCAGTGCAGCAGACGTTTCCATAAACTGCCAATGTTTTACATTGCAGGGATTAAATGACAGGACCACTACACCCAGGACACTTCATTTTTGAGACAAAGTGGTCTGGGTGACTTTAGTGGTCCTTTAATGGCATTAGGTAATTCTGCCATGAATGATTCAGGAATATGTGGAAAAACTGATACAAAAAGTACTGTCACATTCTTCTACACATCATGTAACCACGATTTCTCGACTGCTTTATCTCTTCACAGGCCTTATGCATGTTCACAACAAACTGATAGATCCTCTCTACAGTATGAAGAAAGAAGGGGAAGATGCTGCACCTACAGCAAAGAAACCATACAGTGACTGAACTAAAACATACGCGTACAATGCCAATAAAGTGGGAATGTGATCTAGTCACGAGACGACAGAATTGACCTCTTTGAGGACAAAGGGACCTATCTTCATAGTGCCATCACCTTGGGCTTGTGGGAAGGACACAAATATGACTATTTAAAGGGAATCAACTGTACAGGAAAATACAAGTCTTTAAATGTTTTGCAATTTCTTATAGTCTTTGTAGCAAAATAAATTTCAGATTTATGCACTTTTATTGATCTGGCTTCTAATCAGAGACAATTTTTTTTTGTTTAAAAAAAATAAATAAAAAATAGATAAATAATCCTGTATGGTATTAAGTTAATAACTGGATTTCTCAGTTTAGCGAATTTAGCAGTATTTTATTTTTTTGTAAATGCCAATTTTTTTTGGAGTCCAGCGTGATAAAATAACAAAGACAAAACAGTAAAAAAAAAAAAAAGAACCCAGAGGTCCCCATAAATAAGTATGTTTTACATTTTGTTAGCCATGCGTGGCTATAGAAAGGTGTACAAAAATAAACCCGAACTGGCAGGTCAAACAAAAAACTTTGAAAGCAATTAAAACAACTTATTATTATTGATATAGCGCCAGCAAATTCCACAGCGCTGTACAATGGGTTGACTAACAAACCTGTAATTGTAACCAGACAAGTGGACGCACGGGAACAGAGGGAATTGATGGCTCTGCTCAATGAGCTTACATGCTAGAGGGAGTGGGGCAGAGTGACACAAAATGTATAAGTAGAGGTAAGGTAAGAAAAGTATTCATTGAGGACTTAGTGGGGTTTTGTTTTTTACAGTTGCAGGAGAGCAGTGAAAACCTGAGAGCGCAGGACCTACATATGAAATATAACTATAAACAATCCCATTGAACTGTGTGTTCAAGTACAAGTTTTAGAGGTCGTGAACAAATACTCTACACTACTATACCTCATAAACCCCTTCTACAAACATCAGCAATAAAAAAAAAAAAAAAAATCAACTTACATTTATCTCCCTTTGTATTATCCCAAATAAGCTAATGTTAGTAGTATGATCCAGTTTAATAAACTAACGGTCTCCCCCAGGAAGATAATGAGACAGAGCAATAGCCAATGTGAGGTACTGGAGATCCATGTCTCCTAAAAGTTAGGGAAGTACTCTCGACCGGTGACCTATGACCGAAACCTGAGCCTGTACGTCCCCCTGAACAACTCTCCCATGGAGGTTAGTCAGATGCCTGTATGTCAACAGTCACTAAAAGTCTGCTTGATAGGCAACCATCAATCAATGCGTCCATATGTCTACATAGACTTGGGTACGTCCATGAGCTGAAAATGTCAGTTCCTTCAGTCTACGTAATTCCAACATTTTGTCAAACCACATAAGGAGGGGCAGACGTATGTCATTTTTACAAAATTAGGGGTATAACTTGTTTTTCAGTGTTTAATATTCGTATGGTAAGGAATTTCATGTATCTAGCGGTTAGTGTAGTGGTATGATGTAAGAGAAAAGGAGAAGTCTGAAAGAGAGAGGGGTGGTTGTCGAAGAACTTCATCAAGATGTCAGAAATGGATTTCTATCTCTTTAATAATTTTGTGTAGTAGTGATATGTAAACCCGTTTATTTTGTAGCATGATTAAAGGTACATTGCAAAAACCACTAGAGCGCACTGTAGTGGTATTGAGCCCTAGCAAACTCTATTGTTAGTCAAACGGTATACTATAGGAAAAGGGTGTTTCAGAGGCATTATACTTATGCATGGGCAGTATGAAGATCTCACCAGTGACCTGTTCATTAACAGAACTGTACCACCAAGCAAGATATCTCTGACCTACTGCAGGAAATGGAACAAAAGTTTGCTGCGGGTCTTGACTTGGTCAATACAGAATTACTGGCAGTGACAGCACGAACACAAGCCTCTAAGGAAGATATTCTAGATCTGAAGCAGGAGGTCAAAGGACTGAAAAAAACCATACGCCAAATGCTACACTAACGAGAGTTGATCTTGTGAGTTATGATTGTCACAACTGTATTCGAAACATTTTGTCATTAATTTAGCTGGGAAGAGGGATTTGTCACATACAGTTATTGTGTTCATGACAGGACAGTTTTGTGGCTGTTTTTGTGTGCAAACACACACACACACACACAAAAAAAATCTTTGGTGCACTACCTACTTATTTTTTCAAAGCCTAGCCCAGCCCCTCAACTGCACATATGATAATGCAAGAGGTTTTTACTTCTGCATGATCTGTCCAAATAAACTTCCATGATGCCACAACAGCAGCTTAGGTATTTGGGTGCTAGGAGAGGCTAGGTTTGACTGTTTGATAAACTATGGGTGGAGGAAGAAACAAGGGCCTTCGTGCACTACAACCACTAACCTACAATAAACCACTATCCCACAATAAACTTTGGAGATTATGGTATTTAGAATGTCCCTTTCTCACAAATGAACAGGAGGTTTTGTTACATTAGTTATAGGAAGTAATGGTCATGTGACTTTTCATTATGTGTAAAAGTTCAAAGTTTACTATGCAAGAATATTGTTGAGTCAGAATTTTTTTATGCCAAGACTGAATATATTCAACTGCATGTGACTATGGAGCAATTCTTCAATATATTTCTGTCACAAACCTCTCCAGTCTCCTTTTGACTAAGCCAGTGGTGTATCCTTACATTTTGCTTACTTCACAAAAACAAAAGACTGTTACTGTTGCACTTATCTATTTTAGTTTTGTCATGGATAATACAACCCAAAAACATAAAATGACTTTAATAGTGCATACAGTTGACCAAATTGCTTAATAGAACTCTTGTCAGCGCAATACTGTTTGCAGAGGGAGTATAAAAAGAGTTTACAAATTGCAGAATCCAAGGAAATGTTTCACGATCTCTAATCCTCAATTGCAGCAAATACTACAGGATTTCTGAATGATACAGATTGTGTCCTGTGATTAAACTTAACTTCCATGTAAGTATAATGCATAAAAAATGCAAAAGTGAAAATATGTCAAAGGACTTCAAGCAACATAACCATTACAGAGCGCTTTAGTAGTTATAGTGACAGTAGCGCTTTGGCCTCCTACCCATGGTAGGGCATTAACCTTTTTCAAATGGTTTGACACTTACCTAGGGTATACCTGCCTTCTACTCCTGCCTTCACTATCATCGGCTAAGAGTCAAAAAAATGAACTTCTCCTAGCTCAGTGGCTCAGTGGCCAAGAGCAATGCAGGGCTTAGTTCAGGAGAGCTAACGGAAGTTCTAAGTTAGGAACTTTCGTCGCTTGGCCCACGTTACTGGAGTCGGAAGGTGTCGTGTGGAGCTTCCATCAGCTCCAATGAGCTAAGCCCTGCACTGTCATGCTTAATAAGTAGTGAAGGTGGGGAACCACAACCGGCGGACCTCAGGAATGAGGTCAAACCTTCAAAAACAGTTTGACTCTTAACAATGGAGGGTGCCGCATGGGGTTATACCAGGAGTTTGACTTCTTACCAGAGATCTGAAGGGCACGGCTCCACACCACAACTACTTGTTAAGCCTCACAGTACAGGGTGTGGCTCAGGAGAGCTAATGGAAGCTCAAGCTTGGGAGATCCAGTTCTCCATCAGAAAGCTTGCTCTGTGTCTTCTCCACCAAAGAGCAGGAATCTATTGCAGCTCCTGGGTTTAAGGTAGTAGATTGAGCTTGTGAAGGAATATGAGAATGTTCCATTTCAACTGGTTGGAATCCAGTCCGATCTGGGAGATAAAAGGCAGGTCTCTGCAGATGCGTTGACATGCAGAACTGCTGAATGGAACATTCAGCACGAAGTACATAAAGTGTCTTTAATTTACTGAGAGAAATAAGAGCCTACAAAATGGCCAGCAATAACTGGCTAAAAAAAATCTTCATTGTATCATGAAAACTCCTCCTCCAACTTTTTGCTTATTAATAATAAGAGCCATAGGTTGCCCCTAGGCTTCACACAGCTGACTATTCTTTATAAGGTTACTGCAATCACGATAACCAGTACAGCCCGCTGAAGTGGTCATAGTGCTTGGAGTAACCCTTTCATATTTTGGAATATTTTAGAAACTCTTTCTAATTACTGATAGTAAGCGATATATCACTCAATATCTATAAGCATGTGGGGGACAATGTAGCATTTCTTAGCTCCTGTGTGCAGAGCTACAAGAGGTCATTCTTGTGAAAAGTTTGGTGAGCTCAGTGACTACTGATCAGGAGAAAACTCTTGCAGCAGTCCAATTGATTTGCGTATTGGACCGTTTGTTCTTATGGGGAGCAGCTGGAAACTACTATATGGTGAACTGTCTCCCTGGATTGTACCCTTTATTATATTTATTAAATTATATTTTATAGTGCTTGTAAGATGACTCCAGCTTTCCATAGGAGTCTGTAAATGTGAACACTTTGAGTTTAAAGGGTATGTAAGCCTAATTCTGCGACAAAACATATTGGGCTATATCATGCTTTCATTTTTAAGGAAAATCCTATATGTGTAATATTAAACTTCAAGTGCTTATTATCAAGTAGGTGTGTGGTCTTTCCATTTACGTGGGAGATTATGATAGCTGTGCACGTTTGTTGAAAAGGATATTGACACTTTTATTTGGGGTTGCTTATAGTGGCTGATCAGTAAAATTCACTTTGGCTTAAGACAGTCTAAATACTTATATGGTTATTCACTAAAGATGAGAGTTGCCAGGAAAATGTAAGGCCAAAATCATTAAACTGTAAAGATTCTCCAAGTCACCTTCCAGTTCAGCTACTTTGGCCTTAAAGGGAAACTATAGTGCCAGGTAACCAAGCTCGTTTTACTGGCTCAGCTCCGCCCACACCCCTCCCCCGCCTGCTGACAATAGCCTTGCTCGCGTTATGATCTCCCCATAGGAAAGCATTATTCAATCACCATTGTAAGTAGTTAAACCATTTTAGAACAATTTGACCCCAGGTAGTACTTGGCCTTCACTACTTTTGAAGGAGAGCTGGACGATCCAAAGCTTGAGCTTCAGTTAGCTCTCCTGAGCTAAGCTCTGCACTGTTGGGTTTAGCTCACACAGAGACCATAGGATCTCTTTCTGAAGTAGGGAAGCTAGGTAATAAATCAAATGGTTTGACTACTTAAAGTGGGGCTACCAGATCACTACTGGCACCATAAACACTATGGTGCGCTGTGGTGGTTATGGTGCTTGAGGTGTTTTTCTTTTTTTATTGAACTTTGCTTCGAATTCACAACAAATCTCATTTTAGTGAATAACCCAGCTTGTTCCAGGTTGCTTATAGCAATTGTTGTCCCTATTTGCAAATGCAGTGTGCACATAATAGGGTAGACTTCCCCCTCCCAGGACATGAGCAGTCTGTGGCTCATTCAAGGCAATAAAGGAGCCAGTTCACTAAACATTAAACTAGGCTGTTTATAAATTGATAACTGCCACTGTATGGTTCCTATCAGCTGAATCATGTAATCATCTGAACAGCTCTTTTATGATAAACTACTTATCTCATAATCCTTTGATTAAAATGATAGACTAAGATCTGACCCCATTGTACTGCATGAGGCCCTCCTGATTGAAGTGTCTCATCCTGGTATTGGAGTGGTCTGCCTGCAAAATCCACTAAGTAGCAATTTACCTTTGAATGTATTATTATTATTGCCATTTATACTTGTTTTGTTTTTTTTAACTTCCCCCTTTTTGGATTTTTTTTTTAATGCATGCACCTTCCTTGCAAGACAGATTTCCTGGTTTGTCTTTGGACTGCTGATTGGCTAGGTAACTGCAGTCACGCTCCCATTGTTACGACAGCAGCTCAACGCAACAGTGAGGAGGCTGGGAGCCAAGGCAGCCTGCAGTAATCTCTTTGTATATTGGTTTTGCAGCTCTGACAGAATCACGTTAAATTGAACACAGACGAGTACAGGAACAGGACTGTCCCAGAAAATTCAAGACAGTTGGCAGCTATGTAAAATTGCAGTCATTGATAGAAAGTCAAAAAATGGCTGCCAAAAATCCTAATAGACAGAATTCCCTGCCATTACACAAAGTTTTGATTATAGGCAGTAGTGGTGTCAGGAAACATGATTTAATACTCCATTTTATGTACGGTGATTCTGAGGCAGACTATGAACTCAGCGATCAGGACAGCTACAAACAGGACAGCTACGTGAAAAAGGTTGTGGTAGATGGGGAGGAGGTCCAGATTGAAATCCGGGATCTATCTGGAATGGAAGACTATCAAGCCGTCATAGATAGTTACATCCAGAAAGCAGAAGGCTTTCTCTGTGCCTTCTCCATCACAGAGCAGAAAACCTTTGCAGCTACTGCATGGTTAAGGGATCAGATTATGCTAGTGAAGGAATGTGACAATGTTCCATTCTTGCTGGTTGGAATCCAATCAGATGCTGGAGATAAAAGGGAGGTCTCTGTGGATGAGGCAACATGCAAAGCTGCTAAATGGAACGTGGAGTATATGGAGATACCTGGAGCACAGACACAGGCTGAGGTACAAAAAGTATTCTTCAATTTACTGAGACAAATCAAAGCCTACAAAATGGAAAGCAAACATGATGAAGACGTCAAGAAAAAGCAGAAAAGCCTGGCCAAGATAATAAGAGAAAAACTTTTCAAAAAAAGATGAAAACACCGTTATTGCTAACATGCACACAACCAGGATTAAGGCACCATATGAGGATTGGCTGCTCATTAACATCTTTGGAACATCTGGGACATTAATTAAAAATCAAAAAGCTGCACTGACATTTAACTTAAAAAAAACAATAAAATAAAAAAAAACTATTTCTGATTGTATTATATTAACACATAATGAATCTCCAATCACTTAAATTGTTTATTTGTACAGTATAGGCACAGATATAGTCTGTGTGTGTTTTTTAATACGTGTTGCCACCCTTGCCTGGTGTCTTTCTGCTTTTTTGTTTGTTTGTTTGTTTGTTTTTATAATCCTTCGGACATTTTGTGGCCACTGACACAGCTCACTTTTTTTATAGAGGGGGAATAGGGATACATTAATGGAGTGGAAAAAATGTGAACTGGCATTTGCTTTCAGAGAATGGTCAGTTCTTCCTGGAATACAGTCATACAAACCTAGGACTACAGTTTAGTAGGATATTCCTCAGTGTGGATATCTACTTTGTAGTTCAGTAACTTCCCATTAAAGGGATTCTATAGTGTTATAGTGCCGACGTACGGCAACTAAAAGGTTAAAAAAAAAAACATTCAGTCACTTATGCAATTCCAGCGCTTATCTCAATCGGCGCATTAGTCCCTCCCCATAGGAAAGTGTTGCTTTAATGCTTTCCTATGAGGATTTCACTGACGCTGGATGTCCTCAAGCAGAATGTGAGGACATCCTGCGTGAGTTAAAGGACCACTCTAGGCACCCAAACCACTTCAGCTTAATGAAGTGGTCTAGGTGCCAGGTCCTTCTAGGGTTAACCCATTTTTTCATAAACATAGCAGTTTCAGAGAAACTGCTATGTTTATGAATGGGTTAAGCCTTCCCCTATTTCCTCTAGTGGCTGTCTCATTGACAGCCGCTAGAGGCGCTTGCGTGCTTCTCACTGTGATTTTCACAGTGAGAGCACGCCAGCGTCCATAGGAAAGCATTATGAATGCTTTCCTATGTGACCGGCTGAATGCGCGCGCAGCTCTTGCCGCGCGTGCGCATTCAGCCGACGGGGAGGAGAAGAGGAGGATCGGAGGAGGAGAGCTCTCCGCCCAGCGCTGGAAAAAGGTAAGTTTTACCCCTTTTCCCCTTTCCAGAGCCGGGCGGGAGGGGGTCCCTGAGGGTGGGGGCACCCTCAGGGCACTATAGTGCCAGGAAAACGAGTATGTTTTCCTGGCACTATAGTGGTCCTTTAAGGGACCTAATCTCCGCTAGCATCCAGGAATTGCCTCCAGTGGCTGTCTCATTGACAGCCACTGGAAGCAATCTTAGTCCTGCAAGGTAATTATTGCAGTTCATCAAAAACTGCAATGATTTACAGTGCAGCACTAAATCTGGAACACTGCACCCAGACCACTTCAATGAGCTGAAGTGGTCTGGATGACTATAGTGTTCCTTTAAGGTTCAATTATGTTCAGGTCCATCAGTGGGTGGGCAATGGAATGTGCTTTTCTTCCATCGTGATGCTCATTTAGAAATTATTTAGCAATCTATATGGCGACATTCTTATTTAAATATTGGATAATGAGAGATCAGCGTTTTCATTATAAGGTGCATCTGTGCCCATTAACCCCTTAAGGACACATGACGTGTGACATGTCATGATTCCCTTTTATTCCAGAAGTTTGGTCCTTAAGGGGTTAAAGGCCTTTAGCTGTTATACAACTAAGCTAAGCAATCATGTCATTACAGATCACTCACAGACAGGACTGAAGGTATCTTTTGAGTTTCTTGCAATGTAACAATTCTGGCTGTTGAACATAGGATGAAATATTGTGTTATTATTTTCCAGGATACATTCATCCAGTTGTTTCATCTTTCCATCAGTTTATCTATCTTCTTGGATTCAAGAAGGCCTGGACTGGCCATCGGGCATGGCAGCGATGGCCATGGGCTGAGACCGTCAGGGGATGTCACAGGATCTCCTCTGTTGGCCCATGCAGAGCCGACACTATCCAAGCACCGGCCCTGCTGTGTGCTTTCATGAGATCAAAGATCTCCCTCACCGGCCCAGAGGCACTGACATGCGGCCGGTCACCCAGCAGCCCCTCACACACACATACACAGCACACTCACAGCACCCTCATACACACTGCACCCCTCACGCACACACACTGCACCACTCACACTCACACACACATTACATTCCAGATAGACGCTAGATCCCATACCCAACTCTGGATCATCTAATCTATACACACACACATACACACACTAGATCTATATGTACATGCTGAATCCTCTACAAACACACATACACTAGATCTCCTATACACACTCTGGGTCCTTCACACACTAATAGCTCACCTACAACACACACACACTGCACCACCTACACACAGGGGTGTATTTACCGCGACAAGGCATTTGCCTTTGGTGGCAAAAAAAGTGTCCCACCAATCGCCCTGGCAAATGCCTTGTCAGCCTCTTCGGGGGCCCAGGAGCTGGCTGGCCACCTCAGGGTCCCTCGAGGCTGGCAGCGGCAGCACTTTCCGGCAGGCGGCGAGGGAGCACTGATCCTCCTGTTCAGCTCCCTCGCGCGCACCGCAGTGATGACAGAGACGGAATATGACGTCACTCCGGCCCCGGCATCACTGTGCACAAGGGAGCTGAACAGGAAGATCAGTGCTCCCTTGCCGACTGCAGTGACCGGTCGGCCACCCAGCAGCCCCACTGGACCCCAGGGAAAGCAAGAATCCACCCCAACACTCCCAAAGGTAGGGAGACAGGGGGATTGAATAAAAAAATAAATTTTAAAAATGTGAGTGTGTTTGTGTGTGTGTGTGTCTTTTAGTGAGTGTGTGTCTGTTAGTTTGTGTCTCTTAGTGAGTGTGTTACTATGTGTGTGTCTGTTAGTGTGTGTGTGTGTCTGTTAGTGAGTGTGTTACTATGTGTGTGTCTGTTACTATGTGTGTGTCTGTTAGTGTGTGTTAGTGTGTATGCATGTCTGTTATTGAGTGTGTATGCGTGTCTGTTAGTGAGAGTGTATGTGTGTCTGTTAGTGACTGTGTGTGTCTGTTAGTGAGAGTGTGTGTGTGTTAGTGAGTGTGTTACTATGTGTGTGTGATTATCTTGACAACAAAGTGTATAACTGGCAATTGCATCGCCAGAGATATAACGCACCCCAGGGTGCACGTAACTTTTCCAGGTATTCACCCGCTAGTAGTGATAGCGAGCGATCTTCAGTTGGATCAGCCAATACTAATACTTTTTTAGAACAACAACGCCCCAGAGGAGGAGGCACAAGATCAGGAGAGGCAAGAGACGCCGCAGTAAATCATCCCCCTCGGAGGTATCCGGAGAGGGAGAGGAGAACATGGAGACGTTAGTGGTGAATATTTCTAGGAGGATTTTATCAGTAAGTGAGATCTCAGTACTAAATAACGGTCTTGGGTTTGTCCCTTCTTTTGAGGGCGAAAAATTGAATTTGGACATAGAATTGTACGAATTTTTTCGTTCTTTACGCTTAAAAACCTTTTTTGCAGGGGACGATTCATCCATGGAGATTCAAATGGATGAAGTTGAAGTTGAAGTTGGAATTGGGGTTAATGCTGTGGATTTATCCAAATGCAAAAATAAAAGTAAGTTTACTCCACCTGCTACCAATTCCACAGTAGAAACCTTCATCAAATTATGTCAATTGGAGATTTCCAAAATTAATTGGTCCAGGAGATGTTCGTCTAATTTGACGTCAGATGAATGGAGGGCGGTTGGAGCCCTTGGGAGCGATGACTCCATCCTTGTCCGAGCTGCGGACAAGGGTGGGGCCATTGTTGTTATGGATACTGACAAGTATAATACTGAGGCCATGACACAGTTATCCAACCAGATTCATTATAGGAAACTTATGGGGGATCCAACGAAAGAGTTCCAGGAAAGGATTGGGGTCATTACCCTTGAGGCTTTGAATCAGGGTGTTATTAATAAAAAGATCTTTGAGTTTTTAAATACTACCACTCCTCGGGTACCCTTCCTGTATCTGCTCCCTAAGATTCACAAGGATCTTGTGAATCCTCCGGGTAGGCCGATTGTGTCTGGTTGTGGTTCGTTGCTACAGCCTTTGGCCCAATATGTTGATGCTTATCTTCAAGTGTTGGTGGTACAGATGAGATCCTATATACGGGATACCAGTGGCTTTCTTAGCAAATTGGATAGTATGGGATCCTCTTGCAGAGATACACTTCTGTGCACGATGGATGTATGTAGTTTGTATACATCCATTCCGCACAGTGGCGGCATGGAGGCTACGGCACAGGCTTTGGATAGATTGGGATTGGATTCCCATTTGTATGTGTTCATTTTGCAGCTACTTGATGTGGTACTGTCATGTAATTATTTCACCTTTGGAAATGATTTTTTTCTGCAGATACAGGGTACAGCGATGGGGGCCAATATGGCTCCATCATACGCCAACCTGTACATGGCCAAGTTTGAGGAAGACTTAGTTTATACACATCCTTTATTTAGATTTGTATCAGTGTGGTTTCGATACATCGATGATGTTTTCTTTCTTTGGAATGGCTCAGAGGCACATCTTCTATCATTTAAAATGGATCTGGATCAATGTGTGTCAAGCATTAAATTTACTTTGGAGCACGACACTAACAGTATACATTTCTTGGATGTTCAGGTGAGTAAAATCAATGATGGTCTATGCTTTGATTTGTTTCGAAAGCCTACTGATAAAGTTGCATTTCTACAGGCAAACTCGTTTCATCCTACCAGCATGATCCGAAGCCTTCCTTTTAGTTAACTACTACGTGTGAGACGGATTGTTTCACAAGATGCTGATTTTGACACCCATGCGAGGAGAATGTTGGAAGATTTTCGTTCACAGGGCTATGAGGAAACCTCCTTACAAGAAGCATTGACCAAAGTGAAAGACAGAGAGAGAGCCTCTTTGTTGAGAATCCAGGGTAAGAGCAAGAGAAAAAGATCTAATCGTATTCCAT